CTTGGCGCTCCGCTGCGGGAGCCGCGGAGCCGCCGCCTCCCCGGGGGCAGGGAGGTCCCCGGCTGCCGCCCGTTGCCTTCCAGCTCCTTTCGCGGGGAGGGGGGCGGCTTCCTCCCGGGCGGCGCGTCGGGCCGGGCATCTGGCAGTAGAGCTCAAGCTTCGAGTTCTGTAGATCACCTTCCTCCTCGTCTCTAGCGTGTTTCAAATGTTAACCTTTTGAGGGGCAGATAAACTGGGTAATAATTTTGTTTTCGAGCTGCCCGTAGTATCGTGGGGTAGACTTAGCTGCTTGGGAGCTGTTTAACCAGTAGAGCTATCCGCAGATTTTATTTTCTGCGTGTTTACAAAATGGTAGTTGGTTGTGTTTATACGCTCTTTTCCTTTCCTTATTTGTGCTTTGGAAATAGTATCCTAAAAAAGAGGAGAGAGTTGGAAGGAGGTACCATCATGTCTGTCTTCAACAGGATACAGCTTGATGAAAATAAAAGGATATTTGACTTTTTTTTTGTTTGGTTTTCCTGGAAAGAAATGGGAGAACGTGCAGGAGTTCCTGTCATAGTTCTAGACTCCACATATATGTAGAAGTTGGCCATTGTTGAACTTCATGCAGGTCTGGGGCTCATTCATATCTTCTGGATCACAAAACACATTTTGGAAGCTCTGTCTCTCAAGTGATGGAATTACCAGTCTCTTTGTCTTCCTCTCTAAAAGGATGAATTGGCATCTGAAAAGTTTTCACATGATTACATTACAGTATCTTTACCAGGAAAGATGTTATGGAGTCATGCCAAAGAAATCTGTAATTTCTGTCAGGTATACATCTGCCCTTTCCCTATTCCTAACATGTCCAGGTTGTAGGAATACTTGCCAGTTTCCAGTGATTCTGCACGCTTCCCAGAAAGAGAAAGCAGCAAATGGTGATCTGAATTTGCTTTTTAACTTATCATCCTAAACATGTAGACTTCATTCTGACTGAGGGGAAGCAGCATTGTTCTGTCGTATGTTTTATTTAATAAAAATTAAAAAAAACAAACCAAACCCTAACCTCCCTGTTAGAGATTGTTAAAAGGTTTTAAAGCAACTGTACATAGGGGATTTTAAGCCAGTTTTAGTATTTGACAGCTGAAAACATTACTGTGCTGCAGCAAGATACTACTACTTTAACTGAAACATTACTGCAACGAGCTGCTACTTTAAACACAGTGGTCATATTGCTGAAGTGCTTCATATGTTCATCAACATAATTTTCACTGCCTGTAGAATTAACAAATAGCTTAGAGACTTGAAGTTTTCTTCTAACTAAAAGAAAATATTTAATCATCAAATGAAGGTGGATGTTATTGAAGATCCAGTCTGCATTTTATCACTTAAAAGCATGTAGTCGACCTGAAGTTTTGAAAAGTTGAATACCTGAGAGAGATGGCTTTTGTAAAACCTGGTATCTACAGGGAACTTGTGGAAGTAGCAACTTCCATCTTTCATCTTTATCTGAAATATTAGAGGAGCATGTTTTTGTGAACTGATTTTCATTTACCTAGTATAAACGCTTTGAACAGTGATCCTTGATCACACA